GGGGCAGGAGCAGAGACTGCGCAGGCGCAGGCCCACAGCAGTGCCTCGACACGGCAGCCCAGGTACACACGGAGCAGCAGCACGTGCGAGACAGGTGCGAGACAGCGACACACGCACGGCGATGGGCAGCACAGGCTTAGCAATGCACACACGTGTTGAAACGTGGGGTCGCAGCAGCACTCCACAGACACACACGCCCACACAGCGGGCAGATGGCGCTCTCGTCCTCACCTCTTTAAGCAGGTCCCTGGACTCCAGCCCCACCCCTGCCTGGCCTCGGAGGGAGACCTGTCTAGCGGATTGCCCCGTTCCGGACACCTACCCCCACCCCTCCACACACCTACCCCCAACCCTCCACCATCCCTATGCCCTCCTGAGGCCTGGGAGGCATCAGGGGGAGGTCAGGGCACGGGAGCCCCCCCACCCCCCCAGCAACCAAGCAGAGCAGAACCCGGAGGCCAGGCCCAGGCAGGTGGACAGTGAGAGGCATGGGATGGGATGGGTGCTCACTTACACAGCCGGAGCTCAGGGCCACCGCGCAGCTAGACAGCGCAGCCACATGCAGATGGGCAGGAAGAGAGCAATGAGAGAGAGTGTTAGCGCAGGCGACCTCGCGGCACCCCTGGCCTGACGCCCCCAGATGGTGGACCTCGGGCTGGGAAGGGAGCAAGCTCGTGCTGTGCTGGGAGGCGGTGTTGATGGTGCAGGCTGGGGCTGAGTGGGGCTGGGCAAGCGCTCTCTTTGTTCCGAGTGGCTTCTGGATCTGGTGTGTGCTGTGCAGCCTGCTTACATCTCACCTCACTTCTGACCCAGCACAAGGTGTCCCCAGCTGCAAACCCTTCATCCACCTGCCCAGGCTGCTTCCGGGAGCCCCTCTGCACCTCACAGTCTGTCTCAGCTCCCCTGCACGGGCCTTTTCTCACCTCTGGGGTCACCCGCTCCCTGCTCCTCCCACACCTTGCCTGGAAGAACCACCCAGTTCCTGTCCAGGGGCTCCTTCCCTTCGGGGCGTGGAGGCACCATCTAGTGGCGTGAGGGAGTGGGCCACTCTCAGATGTGGTGGCTTCCCAATATGCACCTTCCACCCCTGGGCCCTCTCAAAGGGAGCAGGCCTGGATGGCCCTGTTCCTGCCTCCCAGCAGATGTTAATGGGGTTGTGTGCTGGAGGGTCCTGGGCCACATGCAGCCGGGGCACATTGGTGCCTGCATGAAAGCCCCTGGCCCTGGACAGTGAACCCTGCAGAAAGAGGTGGTCCCAGAGACAGAGGCCTGGGAGTGAGGGAGGGCAGCCTCTCCTTCCTGCCAGGCTGGCTGACTCTAGAGACTCCCTGGGATGGTATGCCCAGCCCAGGTCCCAGCAGGGACCAGGCAGGGCTTGCACCACAGAAGGCCAGTCCTTCTCCCATCCACTTGGGAACGGGGGATGCATGGTCCACGGCAGGGACCAGAGTCGCTGTCTAGTTTCAATTCCCAGGGTCAGCACCCCATCTGTCCGTTGCTGCTCTCAGCTGGCCCCTCCCTTGGCTAGGCTCTGGCGGCTGTACAGGCAGCTCAGCCCCTAATGGCTTCTCACCAGGCACTGTCACCTGACAGGTCAATCTGAATTACTCCCACCCTCTGACTCCCGCATCATACCCCTCCTCTGCCCCCACCCTCTCCTTGCTCTCTGGCCCAGGTCAACCATGCCACCCTGCCCAAGGTGCCCAGGTGTCCAGGGCCAGCAGAGTACTGGGGTCTAGATCCTAGTGTACCATCCCTAGCATCACCCTTCTGCCTCTTGGCTTTGCTTTGCTCTGGATCTGGGGTCAAGGGCAGCACACAGGGCTGCACCCAGCACCCCTAGAGATCACACACAGAGATCAGCACTCACACAGATCGCCAAGCCTTGGTCCTGGTGTGTGAGGGGGAGGCGGGGCAGGGGGGCACCTAACATCCAGAACCCAGGCTGCTGAGCACCTTGTGGCTAAATGTCAGAGCCTGGCTGGATTGGGGGCACCCAGGAGACTATCACAGGACAGGCCTCAGGGTTTCCATCAGGATCCACGATGGCTGAGTGGCCATGCTCAGACTCCAGACCCCTCCCTGGAGCTGACTCCAAACAGTCACTAGTGGTGTCACCATGAGGAAAAAGGCAGAGCCAGCTGGGGGGGGGGCACCTCCCTCCTGCAGCTGGAAGATGAGGCCCGATGGGCTGGGGGCTCAAGGGAAGGAAGGATGGGGTTGGGCGGCCCCAGGGAGAGGTAGGGATGGGAAGGGGCAGCATGCTCCTGAATTTAGAATGTGATAAGAATGCTAAGTGAGGTCACCCCATTTGTGTTTGTGTGCCCAGTGTGTGGTCTGAGGGGGCCTAACCACAGACTACCATGGGCAGAGGGCAGGTGGGTCACCAGCTGAGGGCGGCTCATGGGGAAGGCTCTGTCCAGTTAATGATAACTCTGCCCAGCACCTGGCAGGCTCATGAGCTCGGGCAGTGGTGTGTGAGTCACAGACCAGACTCAGGCCGGGTCACACACAGCACCACTCCCTCTAAGGCCACCTCCCAGGTGAAGTGAATAAGCTAGTGTGTGACCTGCTCGGGCTGGGATTTGGGGCCATCTGACATTGGAGGACGAAGCAAGTGACAGAAGTGCCCTGTAGATTCCTGCTGTGTAGGCAGCCAGGGGCCCCTCCCCCCTGCAGGCTGGGTGTCCCCGACCACTCTACTCTTGTTCTGCCCCTGATTAGGCCAACCAGAGGCAAGGACTGCGATCAACGAGTGGGGAACACGAGTCCCTTCAATTGGGATGCCAAAGTCAGGAGCAGGAAGGTGGCCAGAGGGGCCGCTCCAGTTGGGCGACTGCCTCACTCATGCTGGGCGGGGGCCGGCGTGGGGCCAGCTACACCCTGGGCTGTACCCTAACCTCAGACCACACAAGACAGAGCATGCATCCGCTTCCTTCTTCCATCTGCATAAGCAGTGTTTATTGAGGGCCTGCCATATGCTGCACACAAAGCCACACCATCCGTGGCTTTGTGCTTCCTCAGGGCCAGGAGACAGAGCAACAGGAGGGCTGTGGGAGACGGGGAGGCTGAGCTGGAGCTAGCACCCCGGTCGGTGGGTCACCTGCCCTCCTGAGCACACAGCCACATGCCGTGTCCATCCCGCGGTGCCGTCCACTCAGCAGCACTGGAAGAAGCTGCCAGTGTGTGGCTTGGCATGGGATGAGGCTTATAATGGGGCCACACGGAGAACTATGAAGCAGCAAGGTCTGAGATGGGCCTGGGAGCATCTAAGGGAGACAGGGGACCTCCTGAAGCGCCCACTTCCTCCCAAGTCCAAGCAGAAAGAAGGCAGGAATGTGAAGCATCCAGGAAGCAGCACTAGGCAAGGTGCTCGGTGGTAGGCAACCCCCACCCCTACCCCCGCACTGGCCCCCAAGTGCTGCCCACCATGAGAGGCAGGGCGGGTAGTACCATCCTACATACACCCGCTACAGCCGAGAGGGGATACCCACAGAACCCAGGCAGCGGGGCAGGCGGCTCCCACAGTTGTTCATGCATGCTCCCAGGGAAGACCCAGCCCTGCACAGAAACCCTACCATGCGGTGTCTCCTACAGGCCTGAGTGCGGTTGGGCGGGCATCCCTCTGGTTCCTTTGGCTCAGGCTCCAGCATGCAGCAGCCACACAGCCCTGACACCACCCACCCACCCCCGAGAAGCCAGGCAGCCAGGAGAACCCTGAGGGAGGGCAACCTTGGTCAGGTGATCTGCCTGGCGGGGTCTTGGACGATACCCAGCAGAGAGGGCTCAGACACCGGCCTCTGTCCCCAACAAAGTCAGGCTGGGTAGTGGATGGGGAGGTGGAGGGTGTTCGCCAGTGGAGAGGACAGGGGAGCCAGAATGGGCTGTGAGTGACAGCGGATGGGCCCCTCCCCACACTTCCCTGCTCACCGAGCTGCCGCGATGGGCGACTTCTTGGCAGGGTCCAGCAGGCCACCCAGGCCGCCGACTGGTTCCTCGCCCAGGGAGCGTGTGTCCTTGTTCAGCTGCTGCAAACGGGAGCTGAGTCCGCTGATCACAGTTGGCTTGTCGTCTTCAGGCCCAGGGAGCCCCCGGCTCTCCACGGGGTCCCCCCACAGCTTGGATCGTCTCTGGAAGAGGTAGCGAGGGCGGGCGGGCCCGGCAGCAGAGGCGGTGTGCTGCTGCTGGGCCATGAGCTCACTGTCCGAGGACTGCTTCAGCAGCGGGTCCCTGAAGCTCACCGGCCCCTTCCCCAGCGGGGACTTGAGCTTGGGCTTGGGAGGCACTGGTGGCTTCTCGATTAGAAAAGTGTGTCCGTCGGCGAAAGAGGTGTGGGTGTCAGTGAGCTCCCCGCTCTCTGAGCTCAGGGTGGACATACTGGACACTGTGGAGATGGTGCTCGTGGTCTCTAGGTGGGGGTCACTGGAGCTACGTGTGTCTGCCTCCTCCACGCCAGAGTCGGCTGCGGACTCGGGGGCGGGTGGTGGCTCACTGCCAGGCTTCCCTGAGGCCGGGCCGGGCCCTGTGGTGGGCGAGGGGCCTGGGCCGGGGGGTGGAGTGGCCAGCAGGACCCCGTTGGCGAACTCTTCAGGGGGTGGCACCAGCCCAATGCGGGCTAGCTCCTCCCGTGTCTCCTCATCGCTGGAAGACAGCTGGGCTGGCGGCAGGTTCATGGCAAACACCAGCTCCGGCTCCTCCTCTGAGCTGCCCTGGCCTGGCCCAGGGTCGCCCGGGGTGGTGCTGGGGGGCTGGGCCCTTGGGCTGGGCAAGGGCTCTGCTACTGTGGCTGCTGACTGCATGGGGGCCGGGGCCAGCTCCGGGGAGCCCGGGCGCTCCTCTGCGGCCCCCAACTCGCCAGGTTCCTGCCCGTTGCTGGTGGCATGCACTACAATGAGGCCTGCCGGCCGCTGGAGGGATGTGTCCAGAACACTGAGAATCATGGACTTCTTGTCGTCAGGCGACTTGCGCTCCTCACGGGGAGCCTTCTCTGACTCCCTTCGGGCCGGCACGGGGACCCAGGCTGGACTCCTTGGTGAGAAGACAGGTGAGGCCAGGGCCCCTCGCTCCAAGTCCCGGGACTGGACATCCACGAACAGGGGTCCCGGGCGGTCGGCGTCCGGGCTGTGCACAGGCGTGGGGGACCGGGAGGGGGCTTGGGAGGCCAGTGCCCGTTCGCGGGCGGCCAGCGCCAGCGCCAGGGGCGAGCTGGGGTCCAGCGGTTTGCCGGTGAGCGGGTGGATGAAGGTGGAGCCTGTGGACGCCAGGCTGGGGCTGCTGACCAGCGATTTCAGCGCAGACACAGGAGAGGGAAGTAGCAGGTCCCGGCCGGGGACGGCGCCAGCACCCAAGAGGCGCTCGTCGATGGAGCGGGAGGGTTGCAGCGAGGGCAAGTCAGCGCTGGGGGGGCTGCCCTCGATGGCACCCACTGATAGGAAGACGGTGGAGCGACGCCGCTCCTCCAGCCTCCGGTCCTTGGCTGGGCCCGGGCCACCGAACGGCAGGCCAGGGCCATCGCTGGGGCCATAGTCCAGGATACCAGGCCGAGGCCCGCGGTGCGTCGGGGACGGGTCGCGCGCAAAGCTGCCCGTGCCAGGGCCTCCGGTGCCGCTGAGAGCCAGCGCTGCGCGCTCCTGCGCGTCCTCCACCTGCAGCTGCTTGACCAGCGGGCTCTTGCGACGCTGTGGTTTGGAAGGCGCGAAGAGGCTGGCGCTGAAGGCGCCCAGGTTGGCATAGGGGC